TAGCTATGCAAGTGAGCGCATTTTGATAACTGCTGTGCCTAATTTGTAACAATTACTGTCAACCTTCAGTTAAGAGACTGTTCATTCCACACTGGCCCAGAAAAGAGTGAAATGTATGACTCGTACGCATAATTTTATTCACATCATATTTCATACTGATTATGTATTGATGACATTGATTCATTTACTCTTTACAGCGCCACTTGCATGGATATTAAATCTTATTGACCACAGATGAATTTTAATTTCAGATTGGTGATAGATTTTTCCATCAGCTCTGATAGTATGTTTGACTTTTTCATCATTAACCCAGGCAATCACACAGCACTGAGTTATTGCATTGAAACAAAAAGTGCACACTTCACTTGGTAATTCTTTATGGATTTACAATAGGAACTTCATTAATGTCTGTTGTAAGGATCACAAAAAAACAACATTTATCTGCAAATAGGAATTTTGCAAGCCTCGAAAGTCTCAGGGAAAACAAAAATTAGGTTGCTTTATCTTTTGTAATGCATTTTCTTAATGGTATGTGGGGGGAAATGACAAATATTTGAAAATTTTTAACCACTTAAAATTAACCTACCATACTCTAATGCTAGTATTTACCATTTTCCCTTTCTCAAGTTTACAGATTAATTTAAAACGCATTTTCGATATTCTTTATTAAGTAAATAACAATTATATCAAAATATAGCATATTTATCTAATTTACTTAGATGGGAAGCTACATAAGATACCATTTTTTTAAGTATAAAAGTTGAATTCATTACTGCAAATTGACCACTTAACAGTGATGAGCATTTCAAGTTTTTTTAAGGAGTACCAATACATACAAGGAGTCCTGTTGTGGTGTTGGACAGCAAGGTCAGTTTGAACCGTAAAGTCAGCGGTTCAAGCTTACCAGCTGCTTCTTGGAAATCCTATACAGGGTTGCTATGAGTCGAAACCTACTCAACGGCGCTAAACAACAACAGTACATATAAATACCAATTTTTTTTTTTTTTATTAATGACTTGAATTGTAATGCAGTAAATCTACAGAACAGTGAATGAGTAGCTTAAATATTTTGAGATACCATTTCAAACTAGATGAAAGTCACTGGTGGTTATACTTGGTAGGTTAAAATTTAAATGTGTTAGGAATAAAATGACTGGTCTTGTCTTCATCCTTCCCTTTAATATAAAAGCTTAATCCCCCCACCCACCCCCTAAGTTGCATCTTAAGTTTGTTGTTGGTTTTAATGCCATTTCTTTCTTTGATTTGGTGTAAATGGTGATTGTTACAACTCACCAACATTCATGGTGAGAATTATAGGTTGTAGAGACACAATGGAGAATGGAGCCAGTTTGTGGTGCACAAACACAGGCAATAGCGATGTGGTTTAGGGGTGAAGTGCAAAAGGACACATAAGAAATAGGACCAGGGTTTCAGTACCATCTTACTGAACACAAGATGATACAAATTTAGAGGCATTAGGGAATGAGACTGCAGAAAAATCTGGCTTACGTGTTTACAAGATTATGTGCATGCCACCTTTGCACGCAAGTCTTCTGTTTCTCAGAATGGGAGAGGCAGTGTTCATTCTGAAGCACGATATATTTTAGGCAACGAATAAGAACCTACCATAGTATATTTTCATAATATTAAAAGCCAAGAAGGGACAGGTGGCTTTTGAAAATTAATAGCTCTTAAAAGGCATAAGGAAATATAAGTTAAGGATATGTTCTTGTCAGACATTGGTGAGAAGCTGTGTTTGGGGGTGATGTTAATTAAGAGCATTTCCCTGTTGGCATAAAATGTCTCACATTTTTGCCCTTGGTGCTCAGCTCACCATGAACACAGTCAATTCACAAGGTAGATTTTGTAAATAAAGGTTTTGGGGCAAGCTGAAACGTGGTCCAGAGAGATATTAATGAGAGGGCAAAGGGGAAGAGTTAATGAAAACACGCTTCCTGGTGGAACATAAACTGCTTTTTGGACCTGGAGAATGCTTTAAAATTATTTTCCCAAAAACTCTGTGGCGTTTCTTTTCTGGAAGAGATGCAATGGGGAGAAATGACAAATAGCTCCATTTTATTATTTTCTTCTTTCTTGTTCTCCATATTTTTGGTAGGGAAAATTGGACATTTATTCTGACCATGTTCCTTCTGTGCACAGAACTGATTACATTTCTAGCATGTGATACATAGCAAAAATACACCAACTTACCCTGGCCGAAGAGCAATGAGTTTATTATTTAAACATCCCTTCTTTAAAGGCAGCTAATTGTATGGAAAGTAATAGGCCCCTGTCATCTGGTCACTTTAAACTTTTATCCTACTGAAATGTGTTCGCAGTGTATGGGTGTATAGTTTCGTTGTTCTGCATCATTGGCTTTTGTATATTCTGAGAAAGATTAATTTAAGCTTTTAAATTGCAGAGTCTCTAGACTAAAATCTCAGACCACTGATGGTCAAGGATCTACACAATTTTATAGCCTGCGTAATTTAAAAGAAGCAATGGCTGTCCTCAGGAGAGAACATTACCTTCTCTGTTGTTAAGTGTCATCGAGTCATTAACAAATCATAGTGACCCTGTTTAGAGTTTTTGAGGCACGGCTGATAAGTTTGAACCATTGACCTTTTGGTCCAGTGCTTATCCTACAGTGCCACACACCAGGACTCCATGTAACTACAATGAAAAATTGTAGTATTGGTTTTTTTGGTAGATTGCCTGCTTTAGATTCTGTCTTCCATGCAGACGTGTAAAGGGTACCATCTAGAATTATCTGTGCTTTCCAGTATAATAAGAGTTAGATTAGATTCCTTTAATGGGAGGAAAATTTAGCAAGGGTTCCAGTTTACATATCACTCTGCAGTTCCCCTGTAGTTACATAATGGGTGTTGTGTGTGTCCATTGTAGAGGACGTTTGATGCTCATTTATTAAATATGCTCACTGGCTGCTGCCGTACCTTTGTTCAGGACAGACAAATTACCTTTCTCACACTGAGCTTCCACTCCGGGGAATTAAGCATCTACCACTTTAATTAGCTTGGAAGTGGGGGGTTGCAGTTCCTAATAGACTTCAGGCTTTTAGTAAGTTAGGGAAAGGGTGAAAAGAGAACATCCTGGGAAGCTCAAAATGTCATTTAAAAACCTAATATACATACATACACACACACACACGTACATATAAATGATGTATGGATATATATATGATTTCATTTTGGTAATTGCAAACATTGTATTTGAAGACTGTGGATTATCATTTCTAACTTTGGCATTGAAGTTAGACTTCCACTGAACTGTGCTTTTTAATTGATCATGCCATCAATGTATTCTATGTGTTTGATTCATATAATTTTAATATTTATATAACTTTAAGTGAAAATATTAGGTGAAAAATTAGACGTTGATAATCAGAAAAATAATATCTGAGTATTTGTGGTGCTGTGCGTTAATGTACTGGACTGCAAAGTTGTTTGATCCACAAGGTCGGTGGTTCAAGCTCACCAGTCACTCCGTGGAAACCCTATACAGGGTTGCTATTGGTCAGAATCAACTCAATGGCACTTAACAATTACAGTTTTCATAGATAAATGCCAATAGAGAAGAGAGACAGATGTGTAGATGTCACTTGGTAATATTAGAAGTCACATTTAAACTGCTGGTATTTTTGAGCATTTAGTATGCATGGATGCCAGGAACCATTGAAAGTACTCCATGGTGAAATAGTTTAACACCCATCATGACAGCCTTGTTAGCTCCACTTTAAAGAAGAGGTGAGGCACAAATTTGAGTAACTTGCTAAAGGTCACACAGTTGAGTGTATTAACCCAAAACTTAGTGGGATGTGGGCCTTGGTTATGATTATTTCCTTTCAAAGAGCCCAAAGATACTTCTACCAGACAAGACTTTATAATCCATTTCTTTTGCAAAGAAACTACAACTCATTGTAGAACTTTATACTAGAAACTGTGAAAGTTCATTTATTGTCTCATTTTCTTTGCTAGCAAAATTGCAGAAAATGTTATGCTTTAGTTCTTCACTGTCAGAGTAAGTAGCGTAGAAAGTCTCCATCAAGTCACAGTTGGAAAGTAATCTAATAAAAGAAGATTAGTGAATGTAGAGAAGACAAAAGCAGTCATATTTGAGTGTAATATCTCTCAAATTTAGCATTTTAGCTAAGATGCCCATTTTTTATTTCTTGCAGGTCTGCTAAAAGGTCAGAGTACTGCAGAATGCGTGCCTTCATCTCAGAGTTTGTTCATCACAGGCGGATCCCATGTGTCTTCAGTAGACAAGTCACCTTTGTAGCTAGCACCAGCGCCAGCTCCATGCCATTGCACCTTCTTTAGTCTTGATTGCCCTTCCTGCATTTATTGGTGTATTAAAATGACTGAATATGAACATTAAGGACTCCATGAACCTGGGCTAATGGGAGACTGTAGAGAAAATGAAAAAAGATCCACCGGAGGACATCTTGGGGGGGGAGGGAGCTTGGGGGGGGGAGGGAAATGACTAATGAAGCTAATTAAAAGAAGCATTCAAATCTGCTTTCTACCCTCATTAACAATTAGCAGGGCACTGGCCAGAGTTTGTACCCTGTGTTTTACCTTAACAACATTCTATTTGCTCTTTGTATATTTAAGTGTTGTAAGGAAATGTGTTTCAATCAAAACTGAACATGAGATAAAGGAAAGAGATGTGGATTTTGTGATAATCTATCACAAATACTTTTATTGTATCTCTGTAAAATACAATGTATGTATGCATGTAAGTGTTTTTGTCCTAATGTTGCTACTCCCATGGCAAAGAAGTAAAAAACAAAACAAAACAAAAAAAAACACGAGAGAAAAAACATTGGGAAAAAAATCAGGCTCATAGCAGCTACTGTGTAGAAATTTCCCCCTACTTCTAATTTGCTGAATGAAGAAAAGAATCTTTTATTTGTGATATTTTCAGAGACATTTGCTCTAGTATGGTGTATTTAAATAATAAAAACTTAAAAGAAAAAAATATATAATGGAGTTTGGGCTTAAACATTGCTTTTTCTCTTCTGGGAAAAATGTTGCCTTTTCTGGTAACAAGCTCACTTTTAATTGCGGGGTTTAAGAGAAGGGGGTATGTGTATATTTATCTACTTTTGAACCAGTAAGGTAGTCTTCAAATTACTTAAAACCCCACTGCCATCTGATCATTCTGACTCCTAGTGAGCCCATACGACAGAGTAGAGCTGCCCCATCCGGTTTCCAAGGCTGTAATCTGGAAGCAAGCATGCCATGTGTCTCTCACAGAGTGACTAATAGACTTGAACCATCAACCCTTTGGTTAGCAGCTGAGGGCTTTAATCACTGTGCCACCAAAGCTGCTTTGAAATTACTTAACTATGCCATTTTTGTTAGAGGTATGAAACACGGCTGCTAATAGTCCATTAGTGGTAACGAGTCGGGCTGATAACCTCAAGGTCAGCAGTTCAAAACTACCAGCCGTTCCGTGGGAGAAAGATAAACCTTTCTGCTCCCATAAAGATTTACAGCCTAGGGAACCCTATACAGGGTTGCTGTGAGTCGGAACTGATTCCACAGTACACCACCACCACCATTCTCACAATTCTCACATTCTCAACACAGTGAAATCTTTGTTGATAAATTTTGTTTGATTTCTTCTGTGATTTAGTTTCTTTTTTGTTTATTGACAAGCATGCTAGAGACTATGAGATAACCCATCTTGTTTCTCTTAGCATGTTTACTGTTTTTGAAGGAAATTACGTATCTGAAGTGCCCCCTGTATGTATTTTGAAGTTTCCTTGACTGTCAGTGCCATTGGGTTGATTCGGACTCAGTGACCCTGAACAGGGTTTCTGAGAAGCAGCTGGTGGGTTTGAACTGCCATGCCAGCCTTGTGGTCCGCAGTCTACAGCATGATTTTCAAGGGGAGGAGTTCTAGTGAGTTGTTAGTCAAGTATGGCCTAATTAGTTTATTTTGGTTTGCTTTCTTGCTTTTGTACTTCTCTACTGACTACTTTTCCAATATGTCTGGGGGAGGATTGAAATTTTATATAATAAGTCTTCTTTAGGCCTGTGGTATTAGGCAGTAGTGCTTACAGAGGAAAGGATTCATTGGGCCCATGGTTGGTGCCAGAATGAGGGAAAACCACATGGGTCTGGATTCGGTGGCTCCCTTCTTAGCTCCTTCTACTTGAGTAAAGTTCAACTACAACTTTTTTATCCCAGCTTAATAAAACCAGGTGTGTACATGATATTACTTCTCATTTTCATTTTTAAAATAGCATATATTTTACTTCATATTGTTCCAGAAAAGCTCTTAATCTAGGCTTCCTCCCTGAGAGTAGGAGTGGGCTATCTAGGGAGGTCTAGTGCCATCCAGTGCAACTAACAGCTTCCCTTTGAGGACTACTTGCTCACTTCCTGCACTCAAAGGTTCTTGGCCAGGAGGAAAACTCACTTGTGTAAACTGAAGCCTCCTTAGGAAAATTTAAAGGCAGACAGTTAAAAGTGAATTGTTTCGTAGTGTTTTATAAAAAGAACAAATGCAAGAAAAACAAAATCATACAAATAACAATTTTGTTTAAGAGTTACTCTTCAAGGGGAATTTCTTGGAACTAATTTGGTTAAAACCTCAAGATCGATGTTTCAAGTTCAGCAGCTGCTCCTAGAAAACCCTATACAGGGTCGCCATGGGTTGGAATCAACTCTATGGCACTTTACAACAATAACTATTCTGTTTCTAAATTTTTTTCTTTGAAGATAACTTTCTGAAGGAGCTGGGATTCATCTAGATGATAAAGGGGAAGTGTACTAAAAAGATTGCAAGCACTTTCTATATTCTTTCCAGCATAAATACTCATGTTCTATGTGGTATAGAAATTCAAAGGACATGGTTAATAACTTCTAGTAAGTAATGCAGTGTGGCATTTAGTGATGTGGAGGGCTAAGGTCATTAAAGACTTTAAATGAACTATTCTATGACTGGATCCTCAAGCAGTACTGCGTACTTAATAAGGAGCTTCTAAAAGCATTTCTTAAGTTGCGGACCTGTAAGATTACAAATGTCACTCATGTTAGTATAATCCACATGCAAGTGATGAAGTCTTCTCTTTGATGTGCTAAATTGGAGAAGGACTAATGGAGCTATGAATATACAATAGAACATATTTAAGTAGTAGTAGTCTTTCTTTAGGTAAAACACTTTCTTGAAACCAGAGGCATTTCAAACAATAAAACCCAGCTCTAATGGGGATGCTCTGTGTGGATAGAAAGCTACTAAAAACACTCTGGTTTATTCTGATGTGTACAACGATTATGTAAAGTTTCTCCCCCAACCCCAACATTGCTTAGGGGGATAAAAAAAGACATGAGCTTATTCACCTTTCATCCTTAGCATTTGTGATCCTATTAGTGAAATATACACCATTCTTTTGAAAGGACTTACTTGATATTAACCACGTCATAGAGCAAGATGGCTCCAGTGCTTCAAGCAAGTAAAAAAGAAAAGCAAATGTTACCGAGCCCTGCTCAACTCCTGATAAAAAATTGTTTATGATACATATAAATGTCTCAATCATGCAAATTGACACTCTTGCTAATGAAACAATTTTGTAAAAAGATTGTCCTTTCAAAGGGTTTAATGTTTTTTACCTCTCTGTCTAGTTAGATTTACACGTTCCACAAGCTAGGGAAACCCGTAGCCTTTCTAAACCAAATCCTTTGCCACAAGAAACCATTTCCAGTTCTTCATGATTTATTAGGAAATAGTTTAACATGCACTGTAACATCTTATACAAAATGAGAAAACAGGTCTCACCAAAATGAGGCCTGTGAAATTGTCATCCTCTTAATAGTAACTATTTAAATTCTTTTGTTTGGCCCTTATTAACACTGATACTTGCAACAACTAATCATCTAAAATGAAGCTCTTAAATGCCTTTAAATGTCAATTTAGTATAAGTCTAATGTACACTACTATTTATATCAAATATTTCTTAGGGTCAATAAATTAAATAACAAACACAGTGAAACCAAGGGTCTAGTGAAGACTTTCCATGTAGCTTAAATAATTGCATTTAAATTGAGAAAAAGCCTTTGGGTTTCAAAAAGTTCCTTTAACTGTGGAATTGTATCCTGGGCGCTGGTGCACCTCAGCTCAGTTTAAGAGGCCTTTGGAAACAAGATCATTTACAAGTTGGTGTAACTTGTCGCTTTGTTACTAAGACTAGCCTATTGTCAGTCCAGCCAAGTCACAGAAATGCTTATTGCAGTTAAATAGCAATTTGTTTCCATGAAACTGCAATTAAAGTATTACGGAGCAGCCATTTTAGATTGGCAATGCTCTGAACGCATGTTAAACAGCCAGCAACTCCCACTTGCAGGGTCTGAGATCTGACTAGCAGCAGAGTGTAACACATTCACCTATGTTGAGCGTCTAGTTATAAGGCACTTGAAACCTCAAGGCAGCCTTCTGGTACCATTCTGAACATGCTGAAAGCAGCAACAAGTCGGGGCTGATTTTTGGAAGGTGAGCTTGCAACTTACCTCAAGCGAATACTATTTCCAGTGGTACAAAAAGTGCTTTATGCTAGTAGATCTGTTCGTGTTTCCTAGAGGGAATGTTTTCCAGTTCAGATTGATTCTGCTGAGAATGGACTGCAACTCCGACGTCTCAAGCCAATAATGTGCTACAGGTCTTGACATGTTACAGCTGTGTAAACTGGGCCATTCTATCTCCTAAATCACAACTAATAAAGCATAGGACGAAAATCAATTGATTCTAAGTTCTTTGAATGACGCTGGAAAGTTGTTTAACGACTCTGTTAAGATGGACAGGCCTGAGTTGAGCCACGAAAATACCTATTTTAATTGTCTCTCTCCCCTCTAAACCTGCTCCAGAAAGGATCTAAACTGAATTCTTCCTGTGGACCCAAAGTTCAGAATTTGTTGAGTGAGAAAGGTGAAGTGCAACGGTTTTACTGAAAATGTGAAACATTTGATGTAAGATCCTGAGAGAGGAAAGGATTTCAGAGGTGGTGTTTTAAAACACAATTAGCACTGAATTCTAACCAGCTGGGAAACAGTCATTAGCTCATGAGAACAGGAGGCATCTCACCTTCCTTTGGCCTAGAAAGTACTTCCTACCTTGAATCAAAAGGTTTATGCCCTCAACTTTTTCAGAAACAACTTTTGCATTGATTGCATCTATTCGTATTTCTCCAGTGGTGATTGAAGTCACTTTCTCTTTTTTTTTTCCAGGAAGAGGAAAACACTGAAGAGTTTTCTTCCTAAATGAATCTTTCATTTCAGTGGATTGAATGTTTTTATAAAGTGGAAAGAGACTCATGGAAAGAGAGGGACTAGGTGCTGTGGCCAGGAGGCAGGCTTGCAGAATGTGCCCTTTGGTTGTTTAAATTATTATATATTCCTGAGTGTTTCTATGTACATTCCCCCTCCCACCCCACCCAAAAATAAAAGGAATGCATGCCAAAAAAAAAAAAACAAAAAAAAAACACACACACACAAAACTGTAAAGAGACAAATCCGAGGACAGTTTACAAATGAAGATTAGTTATGAGAACTGGAAAGGAAATTGATTCCTTGTGCTACAGTTGTATAACTTATTCTTTATTTAAATAAGGTTTGGTAGGGATGGTCTGCATACTCTGACTGCCATCAGTGACATGAGGACTTAAAATTTCCTTACTTCAATACCTTTAAATATAATAACTTTACCTTGGGGTTTTATACTGCTTCCTTAAGATATTTAGCAGTTACACTTTAGACTCACTTACACGTGCTCTCGTTGGTTCCACACAAGAATCCTATTTTACAGGCAAGGTGACTGAAGTTCAGTGAGGTGCCTTTTGGGGCAGGACCAGGTGGGTGGGCGCTTACTGCTGTTGCTGTTAAGTGCTGTGGAGACTGTATAGGCTTTCTGAGGAGTGGGTTTGGACCTTTTGGTTAACAGTCCAGTGCTTATCCTGACTGTTAACCAAAAGGTCCAA